GTGTTCAGGGACTCCTTCCTGTTCCAATGGGATGGAGATAGCAATTGATTGAAATTGGACACATATCCAACAAAATGCGTTCTATAATAAAAATCAAATTGTTCAACAGGTAGGTTCTTTCTGTTTCAGTATACTCACAGACAAATACAAAGAGACCTCGTGGTAAGGTTATTGGGTCAAACGTGTTCCGTAGTTGAGCAAAGACTTTGTTTGCGTATGTATTTAAAAAAATAAACTTGTACCAAAGCCTTGGTTACTTGTGTTTACAAATTGTAAACACAAGTATTGAAATCATTAGAGTAAAAAAAACCCTCACTTTTTGTCCTTATTTGGCGTGATAATTTGTTTAAATTCATGTAAAAGTTAAAAAGAGAACAAAAGTTGCTCGAAAGTGAAAATGTTGCTCGAAATCGGAAAAGTTGCCCAAAAGTTGCAGAGCAACTTGTGGAGAGCACGAACCTGGGCTAACCCCTTCAGGGGTGTTCAGGGGTGTTCAGGGACTCCTTCCTGTTCCAATGGAATGGAAATTGGACACATATCCAACAAAATGTGTTCTATAACAAAAATCAAAATTATTCAATAGGTATAGGTTTCTGTTTCAATATACTCACAGACAAAGAAAAAGAGACCTCGTGGTAAGGTTACAGGGTCAAACGTGTTCCGTATGTATTAAAAAAAAGAAACTTGTACCAAAGCCTTGAATAACAACCACAACTTAGAAAACGATCCGAATTTATAAGACTTTTAAATTGCAATTTGATTAATACATGCATTTTTATGGTGCATGGTGCATGCCTGTATATATAAAGCCGTCATACTCTACAATCCTGACATTCGCTTGCCTTATCTTTAAGAATGATAATTAAATTTCCATTTCAATAGAAAACACTACACTGTTTACAGGTAGGGGATGACACAATAAGCTATGTCTATAAATTAAAAGGTTGAAAAAAGCTGGTGCGTTTGGTGTTTTTCAATATCAAAGTATTTCTCGACTTGTGGGAAAACATTATTGCGCTTCCATTTGGTTACCCTAAAGTAGTGACAACACCTTTAGCATCAGCATTATTACCAAATGTGGAGTTACCTAAATGGTAGTCCGCTCGGTCCTTGCGCCTGCGCGGGAGTTTCTCAGTAAACCATTTCGTCTTAACAATGCCCTTCGTATTTCAACAATTTTACCTTCTGCTGTTTTTAATTTTCATGCAAATCGAACAACAAGGTAAGAATTGTCTTATTTATCCTATCCAAATGATCTTTTAATGCTTTTCAATATATATTTTTTTGTGGAATTGATACAAATGATCGAATGCAACGTATTCAACTCAATCTTTAGTGAAAGAGTATGTATTTTTAATAACCCACTAACACCCCAAATATTCTTTTCACATAATATGACAAAAATGAATAGGGGAAAGCAACAAAAATGCTCAAGGAACATGAAGGGCTCGTAAATGACTGGCTTTCTTTTAAGCTTAGCTTAAATCCTAGACTAAGCAGCATGTGTATAGAAGCATATCAAAATACGTCATTTAAGTTGATGGCTAGTGAACACTAGCGTGGACTGAGTCGGTGTTCCTAATGAAACAAGTTATCGTAGAATTATAAGTTTAACACCGTAGTGAAAATAGAAAACTGACGTTTCGGACGTTAGTCCTTCGTCGGAGTCATTGATACGTCATTTTATATCGATTGACTAAAAAAATAGAGAAATTTAATACACAGTAAATTTGAGATGACCAATTTGGCCCCAGAGAGCCATTTTGGCTTTTTCAAAGTAGTGCTATTTCAGCCCAGGCTAGGGCCAAAATAGAACAAAATGCCATTTTGGACCCACTTAGGCCATTTTGGTATGGGTCTATTAGTACTGTTTTGGCCCCCTCAACTAGGCCAAATCAGGGGGAAAATCTATCTTTGCTGTCCAAGTGTATATTTGATAGAATTACATCTAGTGTAATATTGGCCCCATGAAAGGCCAAAATGGCGTAAGGGGCCAATTTAGATTACAAGAGCTATTTTGGCCCTCGGACATTAAGTGCTGTTTTGGCCCCATGNTTGGCCCCATGAAAGGCCAAAATGGCGTAAGGGGCCAATTTAGATTACAAGAGCTATTTTGGCCCTCGGACATTAAGTGCTGTTTTGGCCCCATGAAAGGCCAAAATGGCGTAAGGGGCGAATTCCGATTACGAGAGCTATTTTGGCCCTCGGACATTAAGTGCTGTTTTGGCCCCATGGAAGGCCAAAATGGTATAAGGGGCCAATTTAGATTACAAGAGCTGTTTTGGCCCTCTGACATTAAGTGCTGTTTTGGCCCCATGAAAGGCCAAAATGGCATAAGGGGCCA